AGTGTGCCGAAATGGGTGTGGCGGACGCGTGTGGACGGTGCCACTGGGACCTTGGGTGGCGCTCCCTATGGGGTCACGAAACGTGTGAGGTGTGCGCCGAAATAGATGTGGCGGACGCATGTGGACGGTGCCACCGGGGCAATGGTGGAACTCCCTATGGGCCATGGAACGTGTGAGGGGTGTGCCGACATGGGTGTGGCGGACGCATGTGAACGGTGGCACTGGGGCCTTCGGTGGAGCTCCCTATGTGGCCACGAGACGTGTGTGGGGTGTGCCGCAATGGGTGCGGCGGACGCATGTGGATGGTGTCATTGGGGCTTTCGGCGGAGCTCCCGATAGGGCCACGGAACGTGTGACGGGTGTGCCGAAATGGGTGTGGCGGACGCGTGTGGACGGTGCCTCAGGGGCCTTGGCTGGAGCTCCCTATGGGGCCACGAAACGTGTGAGGTGTGCGCCGAAATGGATGTGGCGGACGCATGTGGACGGTGCCTCTGGGGCCTTCGGTGGAGCTCCCTATGGGGCCACGAAGCGTTTAAGGGGTGTGCCGAAATAGATGTGGCGGACGCATGTGGACGGTGCCACTGGGGCCTTCGGTGGAGCTCCCTATGGGGCCACGGAACGTGTGAGAAGGAGGAGGAGGAGGGGGAAGGAAGGAAGGAGGGAAGGAAAGAAGGAAGGCAGGAAGGAGGGAGGAGAACGCGGGGCAGTCTCTTCAAAACGAGGACCCTAAACACCACAGGATGGTTGGGAAAGTTACAAGGAGTTTAACTGAATCACAGCGGTTCGTTTTCAAAATGTGCATGAATCCTTGCAGGCGCCTATGAAGAGGCAGCTTGGATGGAGGGTGTACTCCAACATCGTTGATGAATATTGGGTTCACAATGGTTTTCCTTCCTCCTCCTCCTCCTCCTCCTCCTCCTCCTCCTCCTCCTTCTTTTTCTTCTTCTTCTCCACCTGCCTCCTTATCCGTCCTCCTTCCTCCTCATTATCCCTTCTTATCCTTCGTCTCCTCTTCGTTGTCGTCGTCACCCTCTTCCCTAGTCCTGCTCCTGAATAGGCGAGGGAAAAAAGGTAAGAAAGAGGTGGGAAGGAGGGATCAACTTTCGAATACATCGGGGCACTTCTTCCCCCTCCTCGTTATCCTCCTCCTCCTCCTCCCCCTCCTCCTCCTCAGCCTCCCACCACTCCTGGGGGCGGCGTGAGGGTGTTCAGTGTTTTGCCGCGGTTCTTCAAACACGCACCCTCCCTCTGCATACGGCGTCGCAGCAGGGGCCTCAACCAAGCCCAATTTCAATCACACCGGCACACACACACACACACACACACGCGAGCGCGCACTCACACACAAACACACACACACACACACGCCTTGTCCTTTTTCCAACGAGGTGAAAGCACAGTTGCGAATGATAGCAAGGGACACGATGGTCTAAGAAATACCACCATGCATTGCAGGTGGGGGGACGGCACAGGGTGTGACCCGGCGTGGCACAGGCACACACACACACACACGCACTCACGTTGTCGGCATCGCGGCCCTGCGCACGGCGACAGGGCGTAGAAACTCAGACAACAAAGAAGCGCGCGCGCGACTACGCTCGCTCGAGCACTCAGAACCCACTTGCACAGGCACACACACACACACACACACACGCAAGTCTGATGACCATGTGATGGACACCCTCCGTCCCGTTCATTCCCCTTGCCCTGTCGCCTACCTAACCGCCACACACATAGTTTTGCGTCGGCGGCGGCGGCTAGGCGAAGTCACTGCGCTGGCAATGGGGCGTTAATGGGGTGCAGAGAACGCGAATTGGGCCGCAGCCCGAAGGAGGCGGCCAGTGCGGGACCACCTCCAGGAGAGGGGTCGGCCTGAAAACCAGGCAAAGCAAGGGAGACGAAAAGGGCACGACGAGCGAGTGCCAGGCGGGGGAGGGCAGCGCTGCGCACACGCACCGTGGGTGCCGAGGTCGCGGATGACCTGCGAGGCAACCCCGAGGCGGCGCATGCCAGACCCACCCGCCGGGGACGCCCAGACTGGGCGGGGCAGTCCCAGGGGGAGCGCAGGCGGCGACGAGGAGGGGGCGGATGCCCCGTGGGCGAGAGTGCCGGGTCCCGCGAGTCGGCGAGACAGCAAGACGCCCCTGGCCCAGAAGGCCACCCCAGGGAGTGGAGCCGACAGGTGGGGGAACGGGCACGGAGCACACCAGGGAGCGCCCCCCCAGCGGGCCCGAACAGAGTGCGACAAGCGGCACCCCGGGGTGCCAAGGCAGGCAGGGCACAACGGGGGAGCGCCCGCGCGTGCCAGGGGGGCAGGCCTGAACACCAGGCGGGGCGGCGGGCGCAGGCAGCGCCAGGCGAAGGAGGGGCCGCCGCCCAGGCCGGAGGTGGCGGACAGGACAGGACAGCCCGGCACCAACAGCCTGCAGAGGGCCACCGCCCCGCAGCAGTGGCGGGGGGGCGGCGAGGCGGGCGCCTCCGCCCGGGCGGCAAAGGCGGGGCGGGGGCGCGCAGCGGGCAGCCCAGCCCAGGGGCGGCCGAGGAGGCGGCCAGGCGCCGGGCAGCCGCGGCAAGGAGCCGAGACGTGGGCAGCAGGGCCAGCCCGGGCTCGACCAGCAGAACGAGCCGGACGAGTGCACCCCGAGGGCGGGGCGGCGCAGGCAGGACGAGGGGGCTCGCAGAACTCAGTAGGCGTCTGGCAGCAAGGAAGCGGAGGAACGGCGGTGGCCGACCCGCAGGAGCGCGGGGCACGGCGGGCAGCCCTGACGAGGCGCGCGGTCAGCGCGCCCTGGGCGGCCATGCGCGAGATGCCAACACATAGGAGGCGTCAAGCACGCACGCACGCACGCACGCACGCACGCGCGCACGCACGCGCGCACGCACGCGCGCACGCGCGCACGCACGCACGCACGCACGCGCGCGCGGCACACGTCCCCCACACCCATCCACCCAGACACAGGCCCTCAGAAAACATCCTGTTCCTCCTCCTCCTCCTCCTCCTTCTCCTCCTTTCCTCCCCCCTCCCTGCATGGTCAGACATCCGAACCGGAATCTAGAACGCCAGCCATACCGGTCGGTTTGAATACGTGAGTAGGAACATGAAGTAGGCGTTGAAGTAGACTGGGCTTCCGCCCACCCCGTGAAGTGGAAGGAAGAGGGGAAACCACTCGATCACTGGAGGAGGAGGAGGAGGAGGAGGAGAGGAAAAATAAAAAAGTAGAGGAAAAGAGGAGGGAGAGAGGCGGTGAGTAAAGAAGATACGGAAGATTAAGAGGAGGTAAGACAATTGGAGAGAAACGGAGGAGAGAGGGATCAGGGGACAAAAACAGGAGGAGATGAGGTGGTGGAGGTAATCCTCCCTCCCTGCCTCCGTCCCTCCTGCTCCCTCCCTCTTCCTTCCCCCCCCCGCCCCCCGTCCTCCGAAAACCCTCCGAGGGCCTCAGAGGGAGGCCAAACGCGGGGAATAACCTGGTGACCCTTGTCCCTGAAGACCCTCTTGCTTCGCGGCGGTCCACCCCTCCCCTCTCCCCCTCGGCCTCGGCTCCGTCCCTCTCGCGGACGAGGGCGCACTGGCGCTCTGATGCGGGCGTACCAAATTTCTTCGCACGGTCGCGCGGGGTTGGTGCCCGTGTTTCCCCCCCATCGAACTGTGGGACACTGCGTCGCGCAGGCCCCAGCCCATGGGACCACGGGAGAGGACCAAAAGTGAAAATCCCACCCGCAAAGGTGCCGGGTCGACTGGCACCCGTCCCGGGAGGGCGAGCGGCGAGTGGAAGCGGCGAGCGCCCCGGTTGGCTGTGCTCCCTCTCTCCCGCCACCTCGTCCTCCTCCACCCCTCACCCCTCGTGCTGCCCCCTCCTCATCCTGCCCTCACCTGCCCTCCTTCCCCTTCCCTCCGCCTGCGTCCAGAGCACGCGGGGAAGCAGAGGACACACCCACTGCCACTCCGCGGACCTCGCCCTGGGCGCGTTCCGACCTCAACACAAGCTCGAGGCGAGCCCGGCCGCGGCGACGAGGGCCTCCCGAGATGTCACACACAAGGGCGAACACCCGGGTCGTCGGGCCCTGCAGGATCCTGCAGGGTCCTGCAAAGGGTCCTGCACCCAAAGCCAGGTCAGCGCGAAGGATCCTGCAACATCCTGCAGGATCCTGCACCCAAGCCCGGGCCAGTGCGCCCCTGGCCCCACAGGGTCCTGCAAAATCCGGCGCTCTGGCCGACCACCGTCTGCGCAGACCCTCGTCTCTAGAGCCCCGACGAGAGAAGGGTGCCGTGGTACCGGCACCCTCCCCTCCTCTGCCACTGCTTTACCTTGCGGCCGGCTGGTCCAACTCGACGAGGACAACAGCGGGACGCGCTAAAGGGTGAGTACTTCGCACCAGACATGCGTCTCAAAGGGAAGGCAGCCACCGAAACGGCTGCGCGCGCAGAGGACTACCTACCAGACCACCCCAACCCAACCCGAAGACCCGAAGTTGACCCGAATTTCGTTGGGGGGGGGTACGGGTCCCATGTGTTTTTTTCAATGTTCCCCGACCCCCCCCCCACTGGAATGGAGGGCGAATTGAGGCCTTCGGGTTGGGTTGGGGTGGTTTGGTGGGTGATGAGCAGACCAGAGAGCGATCACGTCAGACAGGCATATGCAGGGACGCGGGTAGCTCGCTACGGAGCTAAAGGCGCATCCCTCCTCTGACAGCCGATATCATGCTACTGAGGAAGCGCAAGGAACTACAGTTTCAGCTGTTCGCCCTGCGTATAAGAAAGCAGTTTGGCCACTTCAGCAGATGCCTCGTCCAAAGCAATTGCCTCTGAGCCAAGCGCCATCCAAGGTAGTTCCAATCATGCCCCGTGTATGATGCACGGTTTGAACACGTCCTTGCGGTCCACAGCGCCCCACAATAAACCACAGATCCCCGACGCAGCAGCACAATCATTTTCGCGCAGGCCACGGTCAGCCATTCTCCTTCTCCCCCCAAGGGGGGCAGTGGGGGGGCGGGGCTGCCATCACGTTGCCCATCTTCAGGTCGCGATACAGCCAGCCCTCGGCGTGCAGCCAGCCAATGGCCCCCGCCACCTCCGCGGCGTACCACCGCGCGGCCTCCTAGGCCGCGAGGGCGACGTCGTCTCCGCGGTCGTTACAATCAAAACCCATGCGAAGGATTCAAAGTAAAGGATGCAAGACCCTTGAAACTCCCGCTCACCATTGGCAGCTCCTTGGACGTCAACACTGGCTCCGTGGACGTCAACATGGGCCGAAGAAGCAGGGATGCAAGGGGAGCCTTAACAAAGCAGCGCATCCTTACTTGAAGGGGTCCAGGGACACACAAATAAATACACTCAAATAAAAAGATTCCCAATATTTTCCCATATTTTCTGGGTTGTTGTCTTCCCCCCCACTTCCCATATTTTTCCATCTTTTCTGGGAATCGACGATTAATTGTGTCTGTGTTTTTTCTCCTCCTGATTACCATGGGTTCTCACTGTAGCAGGAGCCAGTCCCCCGCTGCATCGAACCGCGCCATCGGGTCGCATCGGAGGCGGCTCGGATCGCCAGCGAAACGTCCCCAATCGACCCGGACCTGCCAGGAGGGCCAAAAAATGGCACCCGACTTAAAAACCTATCCCAGAGCTTATTCTACGTCTGGGTTTTAGGCTGCTTCGCTCAGATTGTTTGGGTTTTGAGGTCGCCAGTGCTAAAAAATAGCTCTCTGGAAGGCCAGGGGCGTCGGTGGGGCATCGAGCTCGGCTCGCCGCGCCCCACTCCGCCTGGCCCTGGCCGACGCCCGTGCAGCGAGCCGGGTGGAATCGGAGCGGCGGGCCCCGCCCGCGAGCCGAATTGGATCGTGGGGGCCCCGGCAGCACAGGGGCGGCGCCGGGGGCGCCGCCAGGCCGCCAAGGAGGGGGACCCAACGCCGATCCAAGAAATCCGCGCGGACCCTGACCTTCCAGAGCGCTATTTTTCAGCACTGGAAACCTAAAAACCTAAAAATCTGAGCGAAACAGCCTAAAACCAAGACGTAGAATAGCTCTGGGATAGGTTTTTCAGTCGGGTGCAATTTTTAGCCCTCCTGGAAGGTCAGGGGACCGCCGAAAGCGCATGGTTCATGCCATGCGGCAGCGCCGTCGCCGTCACTCAGAGCAGGGGGTCGAACGCAGAATTGAATGGATGCACCCCCCAGACTTGCTTCCGTCGAGGCTGCGAAGCATGCGCAGAGTGCTCCGCAGATCCGCGGAGCACTCTGCGCTGTGTCCGCAGATGACGAACCAACAACACACACACACACACACACCCATACCCATAGGGGGATCGGAGAGGGCTATGGGTGCGTGCTGTCGGATGGGGGTCCCCGCTCGAACGGGAGCGTTCCCCAGGGTCCGACAGCCCGCACCCATGCCCCTAGCCAATCCTCCTCCCAAACGACCCCCCTATGGGTATGGGTGTGTGTTGTTCGCTCGTCACGCAGATCCTACGAGCAAGCCCACAGAGCATGCCGGGGCAGCTCGGTGCCGGGAGCCATCGCCGCGCCGACCGCCGGCGCGAGGGGAGCGGCGAAGAGCGCGGCGTCCTCCTGCAGCCGCCCGGCCCTGCGCACGTGCTCGTGCAGCGTTGCGCCCTCCACCTCTCGAAGGGGAGGGAGGCGCGGGGCCGGCAAGCGACCACAGCCACATCGAACACACACACACACACAAACACACACACATACACACACACACACACACACACTTCTTTGGTCGGCGGGTCGAGAGCGGGCCTCTTCCGGTTAAGAGCTAGGCGGGGCGCGCGAAGCACTAATTGGGGAGACAGGGCGCGGGCGGGCGGGTAACACACACACACACACCATGGGGATGACGTGCGCATGCCAGCAGTCGTCGGCACAGCGGGACCAGCTCTCAGTACTGGCTGTGGTCGATGCGACGATCCCGGGGCGGCCAAATCCACCACAGCCACCAGCCAAACTGAGCAAGCCCTGGTCGCCCGTCTCGCCCCCGAGGGGACCCTCCAGAAGAAGCCTCCCAGCCGAGCGGAACGACTCGCACCTTTCGTGGTGCTGTTGGGCCGCAGGGAGCCCCTTCGGGGCCCCGTGAGGGCACAGAGACTGCACCTCTCTTTTCCCCCCACTTACGGCACCCCCACTGCTCGACGCTCGATTCGGCCTCTGGGGGGCCCTGGGGAGCATCCACCCGCTACCCGGGGCGAAGAAGTGGACCTGGAGGCTGGTGGAGCACACGCGGGGGCGGCGCGAAGGGATCGGCCATCTGAGAGGGCAGCGTCCTTCGCAGAGAAGGCGGGAGGGCCTTCTCAGACCCGACATGCACTGAATTTTGCAGACCCGCTCCCTCTAAGCCTCCCAGATGGGGTCCGAGTAGAAGGGGTCCGAGGATCGCGCCGCATCGCCGATGCGGAGCACGATTTTCTCCACGCCGACGGCGCCGATGCATCGCCGACGTCGCCGATGCATCGCCGATGTATCGCCGATGCATCGCCGACGTATCGTCGATGCGGCGCGATCCTTCGTACCAATCTACTCCGACCCCATCCGGGAGGCGTCTATCCCTGCGTGCTTGACCATCCGAACAGAAAAGCGCCCAACACACACTTTTTTGGCGTCGCGGCCATGCGCGCGGCGACAGGGCGGAGAAGGTCGTAAAGCAGCAAACGCGCGCGCGCGCGAGTAGGAGCGCCCGAACCCTCAGAGACCTCTTAGGGTCCCGCAGCAGTCGGCCACCATAAGTCACCCAGGCGTGGATGAAAAAGAACGCCCAACACACAAGGCAGAGTTGCGGGAGGGACGGCCCGTGCAATTCCTCTCCCGGGGGTCGAGTCGGGTCGGGTCGGGGTCGGCCCCAGGAGGCGGAGAGGGACCCCCGAGAGGCACCGGCCCGAGACAGATGGGTGGACCTCCAGAGGCTCGTGGCCTGTGTTCAGATGCAGCGATTGGGCATCGACTGCAGCAGACCTGCCCGGTCCCTCATCTCTCCTGCACGCTCCCCTCTGGGAGGACGTCGCCCTCACTCCTCCGCTCCTCCCTGATGGGAGGACAGAAGCCCCACATCGCTCCTCATCCCTCCTCTCCTCGTCCTGCTCCTCCTGCTCCTCCTGCTCCTCCTGCTCCTCCTCCTCCTCCTCCTCCTCCTCCTCCTCCTCCTCCTCCTCCTCCTCCTCCTCGTGCTCCTCCTCCTCCTGCTCCTCCTGCTCCGTGCTCCCTCCTCCTCCTCCTCCTCATCCTCGTCCTCCTCCCTCCTCCTCCTCCTGCTCCTCCCTCCTCCTCCTCCTCCTCCCTTCCTCCTCCTCCTGTCCTCCTCCTCCTCCTCCTCCTCCTCCTCCTCCTCCTCCTCCTCCTCCTCCTCCTCCTCCTCCTCCTCCTCCTCCCAACTGCTCCTGCACCTCCTCCAGCCTCCAGCCTCCCCCGAACGATCCCTCCTCCCTTCCTCCCCCACCTCCTGCATTCCTCCGCTCCCTCCTCCCTCCTGGGCGGCGCGCCGAGGGGGGCAGTGAGTGGGGACAGGGGCGGCTCCGGAGAAGGCTCAGGAAGCTCCTCGGGCGGCCAGAGGCCTTCTGAGCCGCAGGCTTGATTCTCTCCATTTGGCGGCGCGCAGAAGGGGGTGGGGGGAGGGGGGAAGGCTTCTCAGTAGGAGGCTGCTTCTTAGAAGGCGCCAGCCTGACATTTACAGATAAAGCCCCCGCCTTCTCAGAAGCAGGGGTGCTTCCGAGAAGCCTTCCCCCCTCCCCCTACCATCCTCTGCGCGTGGCCGGTCAATACGGGGTCCCCGGAAGCCCCGACCTGTTCCCCGGGGCCAGTTCTTCATCCAGAGCCGTTTTTTTGACAGCCCCGAGGCCCAGCGAGGCCCCCGAAGCCGAAAACGGACAACCGCACTGCGACAGGCTCGCCCCCCTTCTCGGGGGACAGAAAGGGACCGATACTGCTACTCCCCCGACCGCTTAGCTGGGGTGTATCCTGACCAGAATTTCGGGGATGGTCCAGCCGTGGTGGCGAGGGATCTTCAGGACAAGCAGCAGTACCAGAAACTTTCCCCCTCTAACCTGCACGGTTTCCCCCGAGGCCGTAGGCGATCCGAGGAGGAGGAGGAGGAGGAGGAGGAGGAGGAGGAGGAGAAGGAGGAGGAGCAGGAGGAGCAGGAGGAGAAGGAGGAGGAGGAGGAGGAGGAGGAGCAGAGGAGGAGAGGAGGAGAAGGAGAGCAGGAGGACGAGGACGAGGAGGACGAGGAGGAGGAGGGGAGGAGGAGGGAGAGGAGGAGGAGGAGGAGGAGGAGGAGGAGGAGGAGGAGGAGGGGAGGGAGAGGAGGGAGGGAGGGAGGGGGAGGAGGAGGGAGGGAGGGAGGAGGGAGGAGGAGGAGGAGGGAGGGAGGAGGAGGAGGAGGAGGAGGAGGAGGAGGAGGAGGACGGGTCGCCTAAGCCCTTCGGAGAGAACCTCCAATCTAACCCCCATGCATCTTCCCTCGGAGGGCTGCGCATCCGCGGCGCGCCAGCTCCATCACGAGGCACACCGCGGTCGGCGTGGCGTACGACGCCACGGCGGCCACCTGGCACTAAGGAGGAGGCGGCGCTCTCCACCAGGGCTGGGCGGGACGAGCTTTAGGTCGGGCATGTCCTCTAAGCGAAAAATAACAGGTACTCAAAGAATACCCCCAAATAGTCAGAAGTATTCAAAACATCGTCCCCAGACTAGTGTTTGTCGATTTTGATGAGTCCTCCTGTAGAGGGACATGCCCGACTCAAGACGAGCTGCCAAAGAAAGGAGATAGCATCCGCGGTTGTCGGGTGCTTCTTGCGGGCAAGACGCGCATCCGCATGCACTGCATCGTGGACTGTTGGGGCTCCCTTCCCGACACACCCGGGACGCAGAGGATGTGGGTATAAAAATCTTATCTTATCCATGTCTCTGTCATGTGAACCTCATGTCCCGCTCTCCCCTCTGCAGACTTACAGATGCGGGATCTGTTGTGGCAGCCACTGAGGCCATCCATCCCTCCTCCCCCTCCCCATCCCCTTCCCGCTCCTCCTCCTCCCCCTCTCCCTCCTCCTTCTCCTCCGCCTCCCTCTCCTCGCCCGCGGAGGCCATGATGTTCTCTTATCCATGTCCTCTGCGCCTGGGCCTCTCGGCGCCACCTCCCTGCAAGTCGTGGACATTGGAGGCCTGGGAGTGGGCACCAACACCAACACAGGGGGTTGCCTCCACAGGAGGAAGGCGATCCGAGATTTCGGTGCTGGTGGTAATGCTTCGGCCACCCTGGAAGCCAGAAGACTATTACCACCATCGCCGAGATCGGGACCTTCCTCCCCTGGTGGATGCAACACCGCCGATGCTGGTGCTAGCGTCAACCTCTAGGCCTGCGATGGATACGGACGTTCGGCGGTGGACAAACCTCCCTATAGTAAACCACCCTTTAGTGAAAACGGCCTGGGACCGAAACCGAAGTAACTGGGCCCGCAAAAATGACGGCCGCGACGCCCCCTCGCGAACCGAAAACGGCCGATTCCTCTATCGACGTGTCAGGGTAGGAGGTCTATCTAGGGAACCGAACTCTATATACACCGACGCGTTCCCCGACCCTGCGACGAAATTCGCACAAGAACGCGGATTCTGGTGTATACGGGATCCTGGTGCATACACTTTGCGTCGCTTCCCCAGGAAGACGAGGAAAAACTGAAAATATACACCACACCAACCCAGCGTCGTCCCCGACCCTCAAAAAAGAGTCCTGGGATGGAAACACCGCCCGCCACTGGTGATGTCTATGCTCCAGCTTCCGACGCTATCCACCTCCGCTGGACGTGGGTCTCCAAAAATAGCCAAAAAATAGCCTGGCGACTATTCTTGGGCCCATCTGCGAGCATTTTTTGGGGGGTCTTTAGTGGGCATTGTTAACTTTTCGCCCGCACTTCTCGTCGGCCCTCGGCGGGCCTCCCGCCGCGGGAGGCTCTCCCGCAGCCGCGCCCCGCCGGGCGCGCTCCCGGGGGGGGGAGGGGGGCCGACCGGGCGGAGAGCCGAGCCGTGGCCCCGCGCAACGGGGGGGGGAGCGGAAGGATCGCCAGCCTCGAACCCTGACCTTCCAGAGAGCTATGTTTTAGCACTGGAGGCCTAAAAACCTAAAAAGCTGAGCGAAACAGCCTAAAACCAAGACGTAGAGCTTTGAGATAGGTTTTTACGTCGGGTGCTATTTTTTGGCCCTCCTGGAAGGTCAGGGAACTCGTCCCCGTCCCTGAGGGTGGGCGGCGAGCGAAGGGGGGGGAAGCGAGAAGGGGCCAGAGGCCTCCGAGATGGGGTCCGAGTAGATGTGGTCGAAGGACCGAGCCGTCTCGCCAAAGCATCGCCGATGCATCGGCGATGCATCGGCGATGCATCGGCGATGCGTCGGCGACGTCGGGCGTGGGGAAGCACGGTCTCCACATCGAGCCCCATCGTCGATGCATCGGCGATGCGGCGCGATCCTCCGACCCCATCTACTCCGACCCCATCTAGGAGGCCTAGAGGGGCGGGCCTTCTCGGAGGTTTCGGAAGCCCCCAGGCCTTCCGAGAAGTTTTCTAAGCCTTCCCCGACGACAGAAAAGACTTCTCAGAAGGCGCGAGGGCTTCTGAGAAGTCCCGCCGCCTTCTGAGAAGGCCTTCTCCTTCTCACTTCCCCCCTCGCTCGCCGCTGATAAGATGGGCGAGCAAAATGCGAGGACAATCTCAGGGGTGTGCCCTCAGAAGCTGAGGGGATCCTCAAGGGCGGCATCGGGGCGAGGTGGTGCCAAACTCTGGGATGGGGATGTGCTTCAAGCTGGTGAAAGGGAGGCGACAGGCTTCCTCCTCCTCCTCCTCCGCCTCCTCCTTCTGCTCCCCCTCCCCCTCCTCCTCCTCCTCCTCCTCCTCCTCCTCCTCCTCCTCCTCCTCCTCCTCCTCCTCCTCCTCCTCCTCCAGGGGGTCACGAGCTGCACAGAGGGGGGCAACGTCCGTGGCAGGGGGGCAGGACTAATCGACGCCGCATCGGGAAGGCTGACCAGATCGGGCCGTGCGACGGATCGGACCGCGTCGGCACGGAGGGCCGAGATCGGGTCAGATCGGCTCGCGCCGTGGTGCGCAGCAGCGCCATAATGCAGACATCGGGCCGCGTCGAATCGTCAGATTGTCGGAGTCGCATCAGATCTGGCCGGGCGAACTCCATGCCGAATCGGGTCGATCATCATCGCCTTGGTGGGGGCGCCGCCCAGCGAGGAAGCCTGGCGTGACGGCGGCCCGGCGATGACAATCACGAACAAGCAGACGGGTGGGCACCATTGCGGCCCCAGACGGTTCGGATCGAACTTGACCATAGGAGGCGGGGGGGTCACCGCGAGCGCTGTCCACCATCTGATCACGTGCCAGCACCCCGCTGCTGGGGCCACCAGGCTTGCCAGCTGGCGCGTGTGTGCGTGCACGCAAAGCAGATCCTTGCATACTTCTACATTTGCGGACTGCGTGTCTGCACAGTGTGCGCATATCTCTGCAACGACAGTGGCGCAACACAAATGTCCTTTGACATTTCACAGCCCTTACAGCGGCGAGACGAGCATGCCTCTGAAAATTCACAGGGCTGTGGAGAGGCCGTATTGATATCGACCCCACCTCCCCCCATAAGATCCTAGCAAGAACGGCCGTTGGGGCTGCGCCCAGCGGCGAGATGATTGAATCCCTTGGGCCTCCAGGCTAAGTCATGGAATACGTTTGGGGCGGCCCCGAAATTGTCCCACCGTGCTTTACGTGGAAACAAATATCCCAACGTACACCAGATCCCAGCCTCAATTATCTCATGATGCCTGAACGCACGTGCCCACTATCCCATCTGACCCCCAAATCTCCCCGACTTCGGCCCGGGATGATTTCCTTTTGCTGTTCTTCCAAGGAAACGTTCGTCGCGGAGACCTATGGGCGGATGAAAACAAGGCTTGCGCGACGGTAGGACAAGGGTCTTACGCGAGAAAACACAGCGGCCTTGCCTCGCGGCACACGCGGGCCGCCAGTGTGGCACACCGCGTGGAGAAGAGGGCGCTTACTCGCGACCTTAAGCGGGAAGCTTACGCGCGAATGTCCGCGCGGTCCACCCCAGGCTCCCCCGCCGCTCAATTTACTGAGCTATGTATTCACGCCTCTGCAACTATGCGCCAGTGGGCACTATGTGGTAATCCCAGCGTGCCAGAAAGAAACATCCGCTGCTGAAGGTGAAGCCCACCGATGCTCTGTAGCGGACGTGCCTACCGCCGCCCGGCCGCGCTTTCTCAGCCCCTGGCAGGACATCGCACAACAATAGAAGCCGCCACGACGCACGGCTCCCCCAAAGAGGAAGAGGAGTAGGAGGAGGATAAGCGCGAGGACTGCGCTGGATGTTACAACGCAAGGGGGCGCGACGACGACGCCGACGCCGCCGCCGACGACGACCGCCGCCGACAATGACGACAACGACGACGACCGGCCAGCACCATCATCGTCACCATGCGGAACCCCAGGGCCCCGCCTTCGCCGCCGACGGTGGCCGCCGACTCCTGTCGCGACGCAACTTCACAGCCAAATCGCAAAAGAACACAGCCCAAGGTCGCTGGAGAGAGGGCGAACTGGAATCCAGCTCGCATCGTTTCGGATCCTCAGGGGGTCCAAGAGCGCGAGGATGGGCTCCGCAGGGTGATGGTGGTGCTGGCCGGCCGTCGTCGGCGTCGGCGGCGTCGTCGTCGTCGGCGGCGGCGGCGGCGGCGGCGTCGCGCCCTCTGTGGAGAGAAGGGGCCCGTTTCTGCGCCACGGTCTGCGCCCCCCCCGTGGGGAGAACGGGGCCCGTCCTCGCCCAACGTGTGGGCGGGAGAACGGGCCCGCTCTCGCCTCGCCCTCGCCCGCAGCTGTTGGCACTCGGCGATGGGGGGAGCCACGTGGGCGAGCCGGTGTGGTGAGAACGGCCCGTGGTCGCCAGAGGGGGGCGACGCACTTGGCGAGAAGGGGGCCCGTTCTCGCCGAATTCGGGCGAGAGCGGGCCCGACCTCGCCTCCTGCTCGCCCGCATTTGGCGACAGCGAGCCCCTTCTTGCCGACTGTGGGCGAGGATGGGCTCGTTCTCGCCTCGTCCTCGCCTCGTTCTCGCCCGCACCTGGCGAGACCGAACCCGTTCTCGCCGAACGCGGGCGAGTACAGCAGGAGCTCGACCACCAGAAACCTTCCACAAGAAACCTAACCCTGAGACCCGCGGACGTCCATTGGCTTTGGGTGTGGGAACGTCGCGCTTTCCATCGCAAAACCATAAAAACCCAAGAAACCCAGGGCACCCTGGATGCAAGCAGGGTGTTTATTGGCATGGGCCCCCACTGTATCGGTCTCGGTTCTCTCCGAACCCCGAACTGCATCTGTTTATCATTGCCCGGGTATGTGGCGTGCAGCATCGGATGAGATCCGGTGGCGAGCGAGGGGGGGAGTGAAAAGGAGAAGGTCTTATCAGAAGGCTCGGAAGTCCCCGGGCCTTCTGAGAAGCTTTCTAAGCCTTCAACGAAGGCAAAACAAATTCTCAGAAGGCGCAAGGGCTTCTGAGAAGTCCCGCCGCCTTCTGAGAGGGCCTTCTCCTTCCCATGTCCCCCCCTCGCTCGCCGCCGAGATGTGGACGGCGCGCGTATATCCCTTTTTTCACCTGGCTCCGACTGCGCACGAGTTGTGATCCCGAAGCAGCCGTGAGATCGGAGCCCCTTCGATGTGGCAGCCCCTGATAAATCCTAACCGCAGTGCGCGAGAGCGGGAGCCTTAGGGGGCCACATGCGAACTCTACCCCTACCCCCTACGATTTCTGAGGGGGAGGGTGGGGTTCACCTCGCTCGGGAGCTCCCGAGCGAAGTGGACCCCACCCTCCCCCTCAGAAATCGTGGGCGGCAGGGGTAGGGTTCGCATGTGGCCCCCTAAGCCTGCAGATCTTCACAGCTGAGGCGCGCCCCTCCGAGCAAGTGCCCGGGAGAGGGAAAACTGCGCACGCGCCCGCCGCCCGCGCGCCCCTCCCGGCCTGCGCGCCCCTCCCGGCCTGCGCTCACCAGGGGCCGAAGAAGCCGTTGGAGTTGGCCAGCACGGAGGCACCGAAGAGCACGCACATCACGACGATGTACAGCTGCGGGTCCTCCACCTCCAGCCCCTCCGCGCCGCCCCGGGCCTGCATCGCCACCAGGCCGCCCTCCGAGCTGCTCGCGACCGTCGGGGCGGCGCCCGCGGCGAGGGCGCCCGTGCCCGCGCGCGCGGCCATGCCGCCAGCGGGCGCCACGAACGCGAGCCCGCGCAGGGCGAAGAGGCACAGCGCGGCCAGGACGAGCACCGGGAGCGCCTTCGACTTGAGCGCCATGGCCACTGTCCGCTGGCGAGGCAGGCTGGGGCGACAGCGGCTTGAGCACAAACAGCTGCTGCTTGAGCATGCGGACGGCGCGCGTGTCCCCGCAAGCCCATCCAGACACGATTACGAGGCGACTTGCCCGGATCAGGGATCTCCGGAGGCACGCAGCGGCACGAGGCAGGGGGAGCCCGAGCCCATCGGACCGCAGCTTCGGTTTTCAACCTGACCCAGGCTGTCGGGACTGGACCGTTCGGGGAGCTGGTGCCGTTTTGCTTTCGGGGGCGTTCGCCATTGCCCGGGTCGTCCATTTCCTTGTCCCCCCTTCCTCGAGCCCCCCTGCTTCGTGGGCTGGTCGCGGGGTTGGCCGCAGTTTGGTCGCGGGCGGATCGCGGGCAGATCGCGGGTGGGTCGCGGACGCGTGGCGGCCAGGTCGCGAGATTGTCGGTGAGTGTCGATATCCGTGGGCCCTCTAGGGCCCCAGGACCGTCGGGCCCCAGGATCATCGGGAAATGATTGGGGATGGGAAAAGGCCAGTCCACCACGAAGAGAGGGCGGAACGCGGGCCGCGGTCACCGACGCTGTCGGCGCGGGCAACGCCGGCTCACCCAGACAGGGCCTTGTTCAACACCCCGTATCCCAATCACCTGGTGTGAGATTCTGATCCAAAGCACCGTTCCATGTACGTACTCGCCTTCGGCATGTGAGGGTGCAAGGCAGTTGCGGATCATTATGGGCCTCCGGAGTCTTTCGGGTCCGTCCCAGGACCTCTGAAGACCAACCAAGACGGCATCGCCACGGCCACAGACGGCCCCACGAGAGCTCCAAGCTGGCCGAATAACTTCTGGAGGCCCACACTCCGGCTCTAGAGGGAACATACCGAGGAGGAGCACAAACGATGACGAGGAACAGGAAGAGCAAAAACGTCAGGCAAGAGAGGGGGAGGGATGATGACACCGACTAAGATGACGGGGGGGCGGGGAGGTCGAGGGGAGCGAAGAGGATAGAGTAGCAAGAATAGCATGACAAGAATACCGACGGAATCAGCTGTTGTTTTCGTTCCCGCCCCCCCAAAGACCGAGGTCTGAAGGACTTCGACATGCGCGCGCGGCCGACGAGCGCGAGTGGCCCGCATGGTATTGTTTGACAGTGATCGTGCGCCACCCCCCCACACCACAGCCAGCACGCGCGCAACGGCGTTCGAATGATGTCGACAGGAGGACGAGGCGCCCGTTTGGTCGAAGGTGATGGAAATGCTGAAAACAAGAACACCGATGGCTTTCTTCAGAATCCGCAAGAGCGCGCACAGACCTTTTCCGAAAACTGAGGTTGAACAACCATGTGGTTTATACACATTATATATACGTGTGTGCGTTCCAGGACACTCGATGTTGAACTCCTTACGAAGCCAAAGGTGTTTGAAGGACTTCGGCACGTGCACTCGACGACGCGCGCATGTGCACGTCCCGTTTATTGCAAGGGATTATTGCGACAGCACGCGCGCACAGGCATTCGAACGATTTCGACATGCGCGCGCGGGAGGCACGTTAAAGCAGCAGTTAGTGAAAAGGATAGCACGTAAAAAACATGGTTTTCGTAAGAATTCGCACGAGCTCGAGCGCATGCTTTTTGAACACTCCTGCTCCTCTTTTGAAAGCACTAGTTACTAGTTGTTGAGATGTTCTCGGGAAGGTCGATTTCGCAATCCTTAGTTGTTGGAGCATTTCGCCATGCGCGCGCGACGACGCGCGCGCGCGTGCACCTCGTCCCATGTTTGGCGCAAGGGATTATTGAAAACGGGTGATGGTTGATAAACGAGTGCGCGCGCATCATATTTGTTGCAAAGGAGGGGGGGCCATAAGGGACTGCCTGGGATGGCACAAATCCCTATTTAGCATGGACGTCGGGGCCGAATCGCGTGTAAATTGCAATGCAAAAAGGTGGGCAGTGAAGTCCAGGGGGGTCCTCCTGCTCCTCCTCCTCCTTCCTCCTCCTCCTCCTCCTCCTCATCCTCCTCCTCCTCCACCTTCTCCTCCTCCTTCTGACCCATTCCCCTAACTCCTCCTCCGCATCCGCCTTCTCCTCCTCCTTCTCCTTCGCCACCTCCTCCTTCTCCTCCCTTTCGTCCTCCATCTCCACATCCCACCCCACTCCCCTCCATGCTGGCCGAGCTCAGGCAATGGCGAAATTCAAACTTGAACGCCTGCGCCAGGATCGGCGCCGGGTCAACTCGGCGCGAAGCTGCGGTAGAATTAGGTCGGGCGTGTCCTCCTGCAGGGGGATCTTGGACAACAAATAAAAAAGCTTCCAAAAATTCTCTTAAGTATTCCGGATGCTCAAGAAATAGTCCTCGGACTATGTCTTGACTATTTCTGAATATTCCTCCTGCAGAGGGACAGGCCCGACCGAACGGTAGAAGTATTGGAGACCTGGAAATAGGCACCAACACCAAGACAGGGGGCTGCCTCCACAGGGGAGAGATGATCCTAGATTTCGGTGCTGGTGGTAATATTTCGGTCGCCTTGGAGGCCAGAATAGTACCACCATCACCGAGATCGGGATCTTCTTTCCTCGGTGGAGGAGCACCGCCGATGTTGGTGTTGGTGTCAACCTCTAGGCCTGCGAGAGTAGGAGCAGGGGGGAGGAGGAGGAGGAGGAGGAGGAGGAGGAGGAGGAGGAGGAGGAGGAGGAGGAGGAGGAGGAGCAGGGGAAGGAGCAGCAGGAGAAGGACGGCCCCACCAGCGCAGGGCTGACGCCGCCCGCGCGCGCCGGGTCGCCGCGCGCGTCGCGCACCGCCAGGAGGGCGTCCCGCTCGTCCCACAGGCGCCTGGGCCAGTCCCCAGGCCCCGAGGAGGAGGAGGAGGAGGAGGCGGAGGAGAGGAGGAGGAGGAGAGGGAGGAGGAGGAGGAGGAGGAGGAGGAGGAGGGATTGGAGAGGAAGGAGGTAGAGGGATGGAGGTAGGAGGAGAGGAAGGTATGAGGGAGGGGTGGAGGAGAGAGGAGGATGAGGAGTAAGGGGGGGTTGTAGTGTAGGAGGGGAAGGGTAAGGAGTAGGGAGGAGGAGGAGAGGGAGGCGGCAGTTGAGTGATGAGGGAGGAGGGGATGAGGAGGGGGAGGGACAGGTAGGAGGGTAGGGAGGACGAGGGATGAACTGAGGAGGAGATAGGTAGGAGGGAGGTAGGAGGATAGGAATCGAGGAGGGCGGAAAGGGAGGGATAGAGTGGGAGGTGGAGGCTGGAGGGGTGAGGAGGGATGGGGTGGGAGGAGGTGAGGGAGTAGTAGTAGGGAGGAGGTGGAGATGCGGTGGAGGTCAGTTCGGGGGGGTTGTGTGGGGGGTGAGGGGGGAGGGAGAGGATGATGGGGTACTCAGTCACGCATCGGGCCTTGACCCTCAGAGTAACGCGACAAGGAAGAAGCGAAGCCCCTCTTCTCCCAGGGAAGAAGGCATGAGGAACGATAGATAACAAGTAACGCAGGAGGGGCGAGAAACAGCGCGTGCAGGCCTAGGGAACGACCGAGCCCCTTTTGAAAGCAAGAGTTCCTCATTCAAGCCGCTCGCTGCACAGCGGGTTCACGTCGTGATCACGTCTGCACCGGTTCCCTGGGATCGCGTCCTGGCACGGCGTGGACGCGATACGTCGCGATCGTGATCACGTTCCTGGCTGGCACGGCGTGGACGTTCCCTCCTGAACCGTCTGGGCTTTCCGACAGCGCAGACCGTGCAGCGTCGGCCGACCCCGGCCACGGGCGGCGCTCGGCACCGTACGCCCGCGCTGGGGTCGCCTCCGCGTCAGCGCGCCGCGAGCCTGCTGCACGGGGAAGGCCAGGCCGGGGCAAGGGAATCGTTGCGAGAGGACGGGGGCTGGTCGGGTGTTGCCTGGGCGGACCGGCGTTTCATTCACGCCCATGCTCACGCCCCACTCCCGCCGTGGCAGAACTCTGCCCCAGCTGCCGAGAGTTCTACCGATGCCCCTCCTGGCACCCAGAGCAGGGGACAGCGGCATGGGTATGGATCGAACGCCCGTCGCCGATTGCCAGAGGTGGCACTGGACCTGGAGGCCCAAGGCGGCCCCCCGTTCTCCCAAAGGAGGCACGGAGTGAAGGGGCCGAGGGACACACCAATTGACAGACGCAAATCCCAGGACTCCCCATAGTTTCCATATTTTCCGGATGTTCGCCCTCCCCTACCATATTCTCAATACGTTCCTGTGAACCAGCGATGACCACATCGTCTTCGTGGTCTTCCTCATCTCCTGGGCCTCTCCTTACCAGTTGGTGGCACCTGTTGCACTTCGCCCACCTGGTGTACCTCTACTCCCCGGACGTCGATTTGGTCACGTCCCTCCGCACGCAGCACTCGAGGATGGTGATTTTGACGCGCCGTCGACGGCAACACCACTTCGCTCTCCCTCCGGGACTTCGCCTCTGGCTCCTGTCCAAGGCGTACCTTCTCCTGTGCAAGTTCTTCGGCACCGCCTGCACCCCGCGCCCTCCGGCCGCCTGAGGCCCCGCCCGCCCGCGCCCTGTCTCCCCAATTAATGCTTTGCGCGCCCCGCCTAGCTCTTAACCGGAAGAGGCCCGCTCTCGACCCGCAGACCAAAAAGTGAACCAGCGATGATTTGTGCCTGTGTTTTCCCTCCTGACAGATGGCCTCCATGGCACCCTCCACGAGGCCCAGCCAGCCCCCAGAGACTCCCCAATGGTGCGAAAGCTGCGGACACATCGGGCCAGGAGCTCCTGTGTTGGGCCGGAGTCGTAGGAGGGGTAACGAAACAGCTCACCCAGCTGGTCTTTCCGGCGCCGTCCGGGCGCCCACATGCCCAGCAAAGTGCCCCGCGGTAGGGCCGAAAGCAGCTCCGCTCCGCAGTTCTCGTGCTAGGACGAAGCCAAGGCGAGGATAAATTCGGGCGAGGATAGGTCGAGAATCCCTCAAATACAGCGGTTCTGGAGGATGCCTCGGGCGCCGCGGCCTTCCCAAAGCGTTCCGGCACGCTCGGAGAGCGCTCTGGAACGCTCTGGTACTGGAACGGACTTATCCTCGTCCTAGCCCCGTCCGACGTGCCCCCCCTTCCCCCCCGCCCCTGCCCCAACATTCGACTTTTCTTGACCTTCTCCAGGCCTCCCTCCCTCCCTTCGTCCCTCCCTCCCTCCCTCCCTCCCCCTCTCCCTCCCTCCCTCCCTCCCTCCCCCCTTCCCCCGCTCCCCCCCCCCTCCCTCCCTCTCCACTCGCCTCTTCATGCCCTCCACGCCCCTCCCTCTCCTTCGCCTCCCTCCCGCCCTCCCTCCCTCCCTCCCTCTCCCGCCTCCCTCTCCCCCCTCCCCCATCCTTCCCTCCCCCCTCCCTCCTCCCCTCCCTCCTCCCTCCTTCCCTCCCTCCTGTTCCGATATCCTCCTCCCTCCCTCCTCTCCCTCCCTCCCTCCTCTGCCCTCCCTCCCTCCCTCCTCGCCGCCCTCCCTCCCTCCCTCCCTCCCTCCCTCCCTCCCTCCTCTCGCTTCCTCCTTCCTCCTCCTCCTCTCCTCCGCCTCTCCTCACTCCCTGCTCCCTCCCTCGTCCTCCTCCTCCTCTCCCCTCCTCCTCCTCCTCCTCCCTCCTCCTCGCTCCTCCTCCTCGCTCTTGCCTCCTCATCCTCATCTTAGTATTCGTTTTATACTTCTTCAGGTATTAGTAGTGTTAGTATACGTGCTTATACAGGTGTGTTTTATTATTCGTCGCATTCGCAGTACATTACTAATTATTTTGTTTATGTGTTAGTCTACTCCTCCTCCTCCGTCCTCCTCCTCTGCTCGTCCATCCTCCTCTCTCCTCCTCCTCAACTCCTCCTCCTCCCTCATGCCTCAGTCCGATCCTCATCTTATTATTTTTTTTCGTTTATACTTCTCGGTATTTGGGGGTGGTCTTGGTTCTTAGCAGGTGTGTTTTATTATTCGTCGCATTCGCAGTATTACTAGTAGTATTGTTGGTGTTAGTCTTAGTATTAGTATGAGTATGAGTAGTTGTATTAGTGTTATGATTATGACTAGTATTAGTAATAGTAGTATGATTCGTATTAACAGTATCATTAGTACGATCACTAGTATTATTATTACTATTAGTATTAGTATTGTTATTGTTATTCCTATGTGTCTTATTATTAGTACAGTTATTGTTATTATGATTCTCTTCTCAATAATATATTAATACTATTATTCCTTATCATCCTCCACCTCCTCCTCCTCCCCCTCATCCTCTTTCTCCTCCTCCTCCGCCTCCTCCTCCTCCTACTCCTCCTGTGCCTCCTGCTCCTCCTGCGCCTCTTGCTCTTCCTCCTCCTCCTCCTCCTCCTCCTCCTCGTCCGCCCCCGCTGGAACAAAGAGAAGAGGTGCACGAAAGCAAAGGCACCTGCGCCTCCTCCTTTTCCTCATCCTTTTCCTGCTCATGTTCCCCTTACTTCTCTCTCTCCTCCTCCTCTCCTCCTCCTCCTCCTCCTTTCCTCCTCCTCCTCTCCTCCTCCTCCCCCACCCCCGCCTTCCTCTTCTCCTGCCTCCTCCTCTCCTCCTCCTCAGCTCCTCTCCTCCTCCTCCTGCCTCCTCCTCCTGCCTCCTCCTCCTCCTCCTCTCTTCTCCTCCACCGCCCCTCCCCCTCCTCTCCTCCTAGCCTCCTGCCTCCTTCAAGCCGCTTGGTCTCACAGTTGAGCCCGAGCCCCTGTGGGGCTGACGGGCCCTTGCCTTGCTGCTTGACGCGTGGGGCCGCGTCGGGCCTTGCGAACGCCAGAGGAAGTGCTGCGCTGACCGGTCTGCTTACATCGTGAATCTGGTCTAGAGTCTTCCGCTCCTGGCAGCTGTGCTAGCGGCCTGATGCAAGTTGAGGTGGGCGCATCTTCATCCCCGAGGACCTGCTGACCAGCGAGCTCTTAGGTCGCGTCGCCCCCTTCGATGGCGACGTCAATGTCATCAGGGCCTCCAATTACAACTGCCTGCTTGCGGGGGCGGGAATCCATGTTGGTGCAGACCGCTCACGGTATGCGCAAGGTCATGCGCCCACCGGCCCCCCCGCAGTCGCCCCTGGCACATGGAGTGGCATCCCCGCCTTCGGGAACGGCTCCGGGTACTATTCCGCCGCCGCCGCCATGCCCTGCTTCCTCAACGCCTGCCCCGGGTGGAGTACCTCAGGGCTTTCAGGGGCGCCGCAAGAGGAAGAGGTTCAGGTACAAGGGGAACATCAACTCGCAGATGCGCATCAACATGCACCCGGAGCGGAAGGCCCTGCAGGCTCACGCCACGGAGAAGATCGCGAGGCCCGCGGCTCCGATGCCTCCGCCGCCGGGGGTCTTCGACGTGCCGAAGGATCCGTATCTGGAGAGGATGGTCTTGGCGCAGCTCGCAGCTGGGCCGACGACTCCAGCGGCTCCGAGCCCTCCAACTTCGTCTTCGACGCCTCCGCCGCCGCCGCCGCCAAGGGCGCCTGTCCCGACACCGCCGATAAGGAGCAAATGTCCGAGGCCGCCTCCTCCTCCGCCATAGGGGGCCCCTCGCACTTCTTCATCGGCGAGGCTAACGCGGCGGCGGCTCACAAGGCCAAGAAGAGATTCAAGCGTTTGCAGAAGAAGGAGAAGAAGCAGGAGCGCATTAAGGAGGAGAAGGAGGTTTACCTTTTGGAGAAGACCCTGAGGGCGCCAGTGGCGCCAGTGACTGCTGGCGAATGCAGGGCTCACGCATTTGATTTTCAGCAAGAGCACGGCGCTCGAGGTGATGACGGTGGCGGAGCCGTTGGAGCTGGCGGCGTCGGGGCGCTTGCACCAGATGGGCCTGATGGAGGTGGGGCGGCTGGTGGCACTACTGGAACGCAGAGCCCAGTACCTGAATGCGCTGTTTCTGGCGATGGCGTGGCTACTCTGGACGAGGCGACTGGCAATGCGCAGCCGTTAAACCACATGGAGATCATGGCCAACATCCTCGGCTCCAATGCCGAGGAGGCCGAGAAGTTGCTGCAGAAGGTCGGCAAAGGCGAGCTCTCTCCTGCAGAGGTGCAGACAAGTGCGAGCTCTTCGTGAAGGGCCGGCCAGTATTTTCTGTACTTCGTGTTCGTTATCGCCTCAGGGGTTTTCATATCAAGTTCTCCCTGGGGTATTTGTTTCACCAGGGCTCCATCTTCAAGTAGGGCCTCGTGTGCCCGCCTTTTTCCTGCTCGGCAATCTCTTCGGAAGCTTGACGGGCAGTGGTCCACAGCAAAAAAAAAATCCTCATCCTCCTCCTCCTCCTCCTCCTCTCCTCCTCCTCCTCCTCCTCCTCCTCCTCCTCCTCCCCCCTCCTCCCCCTCTCCTCCTCATCCTCCTTCCTCCTCCTCCTCCTCCTCCTCCTCCTCCTCCTCCTCCTCCTCCTCCTCCACTAGAGTTCCCTATTCACCTCCCCCTGCTTTTAGCTCTTACTCTTCGTGGTTCCCCTCTCCCAAAACATGTGTCCTCCTTCTCCTCCAAAATGTACCTCCTGCTGCTGCGACTCCTCTCCTCTCCTCCTCCTCCTCCTCCTCCTCCTCCTCCTCCTCCGCGTGGTCCCCACTACTCTGCTCCTCCTATATCTTCCTCCTCCTCCTCCTCCTCCTCCTCCGCCTCCTCCTCCTCATCATCATCATCAGCAGCAGCAGCAGCATCATAATCAGCAGTGTCATCATCATCAGCATCATCATCCGTATCGTCATCATCATCATGATCATCACCATAAGTGTCCTCAGATTCATTCGCAGCATCACCATCAACAACATGATTACCATCAACAGCATCATCACCACCATCAGCAGCATAGTCCTCCCCCTCCCCCTGCTGCAAAACGTTGCGCGCCGAAGAAGCTTCGACGAACAACACAGCTCAAAGCCGAGGGTTCAAGTCGTAGGGCAAGACTCCAACACCCCCGAGTACACGGAAACGCCAGACCAAGCTAAGCCAACATATGCCTGCAGCCGGACATGGACAAGTGCACGCGGAGCAAGGCCTTGCTCGAGGAACCGTCCGGAGGCGGCACAAGCACGAGAGATCAGGCCTTTGGATCCCGGGCCCCTCTCCAGCAAGAGCTGGGGTTGGGGCGGTATCCCCTTCAACAAGGACGAGGGGTGGGAGGAGCCAAACAGCTCGTCCCCTACACGCCCCACCCATGTCACCCAAGTGTTGAGGAACTGGGCTGTCGATTGCACAGCAGAGAGGCATTGCGGTGCGAGGCGAAAGGCCTGGACCGCCCACTTTGCGTGGACGTCGGTGGCATCATTGCCGAACTTGATACGGGCCGCGACGCGACCAGCGCGAACATCGGCAGAGGTCAAATTGGCAGGGAACCTCACGACGGACAACGACGGACACGACGACGACCCATCAAAACCCGAGACCTCGCGCCACAAACTCGCGCCACAGACTGCACTGCGTAGACAACAAACGAATACACGCAAGCCTGCCTCTGAAAGTCACACCGTGAAAGCCATACTTCGAGCCAGTGTGAAGAGCAAGGGGCGGACACGCATGCTTGATGCAGTACAGCACGGCCTGCAACCCAGCTGCATTGATGGCCGTAGCGGCTTTTTAAAAAGGGGACCACACAAAACAACCGCAATCTCACATAGCGTGCGGAGGCCTGTAGCAAGGGCGACCACAGACCAACCTGCGGCAGCCCAGGGTCCCACGTCACCCTCGAAGCAAGAGCCATCCAAGAAAACAAATCCCAAGTCAAGCCAGGATGCCCGTGGACCCACAAAGACTCAGGAAGGACGGGGCGCTCCAAGACAGGGAGCGGCATTAGACATCTTTCAGCGAGCAGCTGAAGAAGACCCCCTTGCTGGACAACAACTCAACGCGACGCACAGGTTGCAAGAGGCTTCTAAACAGCGAGGGCCTGATGTGGACACGCACAGCGTTTGCGCGCGAGCATGGCAACGCTGCTCGAGCCAGCGGCGAGGCAAGCAAGACTGTGGGGTTCAACAGGGTAGCCAGCCTCCCATTGCCTTGCCATGGGCCGCTGGGCACCGATGAAGCATGAGCGAACATCTCCTGTGCGCTCGTGCAGCTCCTTGTAGCGCAAATATGTAAGCAAGGACAGGCGGCAGGAACACACCAGTGGCAAACACAAGTGCTTCAACATGTTCGGCTATCTTGTCTCACTGCCAAAGGCGCACTGCACGCATCAGCGGCCGTTCGACTGCAAAAGAGCCAGCCTCAGAGATGTTCAGGACACGATATTCCGGGAAATCCGAATGGTAGAGAGGTCTGGGCCTGATGCCAACACGCCGTAGAGAGGCCCACGGAGTCGCAAAGGGTCCCGCAATAGATCCCCAGGGGTATTTCAGAGGGCTCACATGGGCATCAACTTGCCGAAGCTTCGATGGAGGACTTGGCGAGACATCCATCTCTCACGTGAGCACAGCACGAACACAAAAAAAACACTGGCAACCACGTCACGTGGCTCTGCTGATGGGGTCGAGGTCCTTCGTGGCGGCAACCATCATGGACAGCGCGAAGCTCTTACCGGCTTGCTTGTGATCCTGCGCGGCCTGTAAGACCCCGGAGCGTCTTGAGCTCTCTCTCTCTCTCGCTCACGCCTGTGACGGCCGTGCCGAAGGAGGTGGCGCCGTCGAGGGCTACTCGACTCAACTGGCCAAGGGCCTTCTTGCGGGGGCGGCCTGACTTCAGAGCAGACATGCGGTCACGCTGTTTCTTGCTGACGGCGTACCTAGTTCGTGCGGCCAATCGAGGCTGCACCTGGCCAGCGGCAGAGCCAACCCCGAAGTTGCGTTCCGTCGCTGCCGCGAGAAGCCCCGGCGGACAAATCCCACGAGTGACGCGAGCGCACAGCGTGTTCGAACTGCGGAGGACCCGACTCTCATCAATGGCAAGCCGCACGTCCACAGTCAAGCTTGCTACACAGCAGTGTGGCTGACTGATACAGCTCGTCGCCCACGCGCTCCTCGCCACCGAAGCGCTGCAGGCCGAGATCGACGGCGCTGACGGGCAATACTACAACCGAGCCGCGCGCATCCAGGAGCAGTACCTGAAGCATGAGCGTTGCAAACGTGCTCTCGGGGAGAGCTTGCTGAACAACATGAAATCGCTGCAGACCCCTTGGAGGTCCAAAATGCGCGGATCACGATAAGCGTCAATCGACAAGTGGAGCTGCCAGAGGGGAAAACATATCTATCGATGGCAGCCTGCAGCAGGTCATGATGCTGTGTGAACCCGGGCGCTCTCTCAAGGTCCAGGAGGGCGGTCCCAGAACACTGACCCTTGAACGTACCATACTCGGACCGGGCACTCAAGATCCAAACGCATGTTTCCGAAAAACGTCCCTTGGTAGCCTTAGGTCGGGCATGTCCCCCTGCAGGCGGAGTGTGGGCGAAAGATCCACAAATCGTCCCCTGACTATTTTTTCGCAGGTTTGAAAATTCCCCCTGTAGCCCAGGAAAGCAATGCCTGAAGTGTGTATGCTGCCAGGCTGCTGGTAGGGACCGCCGAAGGCGACACTGCACTCGACAGAGAATGCGAAGCAGACCGAGAGGGCGCACACCTCCCGCCCTCCTCGTGATGCAAACGACGCGGCTGCACATCTGCGGCCACACCAAATCCTGCCCCACGTGCGCAAGAATGTCACGGAAGAGGTTGATCGCGTGATCTGGCAGGAGCAGCAGGTTCCTCGGACTGACTGACCTCGCCAAAGCCTGATCCTCCTCCTCCTCCTCCTCCTTGCGCCTCCTCCGCCTCGTCCTCCTCCTTCTCCTCCTCCTCATCCTCATCCTCCTCCACCTCCCCCGCTCCCCCGCTCCCCCGCTCGCGCTTCTGCTCCCACACCCGGCAAGTCCCGGCCCTTTCCCCAGGGCCATTGTTTATCATCCCGCCCTTTCTCTCTCTCTCTCTCTCTCTTTCTCTCTTTCTCTCTCTCTCTCTATCTTTCTCTCTTTCTCTCTTTCTCTCTCCCGCACAGTCATCCCTTTCCTCTTCACCCTCCTCCCCCTCCACCTCCTGCTAACTTCCACTTGTTCCTCTCCCCTCTCCCTCCCATCCGCCTCCCGTTCACAAGGTAGGGAACCCTGACCAAACCAGAGAGGGAGTATGGTTCGGTTTGGGACGCCCCTCGAAAAGGGAGGGGGGGTCCCCAACAGAACCAGGGTAACCCTATCCGCTTCACTTGGGTGAGGTGCTCTTGCTGAAACGAAGCAACGAAGGACACGGCGCCTAGCTTCCACGTCGGACGCCAGGCGTATCCGCGGCACCTCCTGGCGCAGCGCTGGCGTGCCCATTGGAAGAGGAGGGAAAAGAAAGGATGTCAGCGCTTCACGGTTTCCCCCGGGGCCGTAGGCGACCCGAGGAGGAGGAGGAGGAGGAGGAGGAGGAAATGGAGGAGGGCGAGGGGGAGGAGGATATGGAGAAGGAGGAGGAGGAGGAGGAGGGCGAGGAGGAGGAGGGCTAGGAGGAGGAGGACAGGTCGCCTAAGCCCTTCCGAGAAACCCTCCAGTCAGCGCCCCTCCATCGGGGATTCCACTAATGGGGACTTGGACTGCCTACCAAGCCACCCCCGCCCAGGCCGAAGTCGCCGGTGGGCCTGTCCATTTCCAGGGGGGGGGGACACTCCAGAATGATGAGAACACAGAGAGTGGACACCAGGACTGGACCTAAACGTTGTTGTTCGTTTTGCTTCCGTTTTGTTTTTCGTCTTGCTGTACCTGTTTTCACATGTACCTCCCTCCCCAGACGAAAAACAAGACACAGCCGAAGTCCGGCAGAGCAGCGTTGAGGTCCAGCCCTGGTGGAAGCCGCACGCCCCCCAACCCAAAATTTGTGAAGGGGCCCTGGGACACACAAATAAGTACACACAAATAACCGGATTCCCCACATTTTCTCACATTTTCTGGGTTTTTGTCTTCCCTCCCACTTCCCATATTCTTCCACATTTTCCTGGAAATCGTCGATTAATTGTGTCTGTGTTTTTCCCCCTCCTGAATTTGGGGCGGTCTGGGACCTTCGGGTTGCATGGGGGCGCATTTGGTAGGCAGGGGCACGGTCGTTGGCCAGAGTGGCCTGGCGGGCGCAGCCCTTCCCGGCGCGTGCAGTGATGCCACGCCTGGCAGGGGGGTCCAAAATGGCAATTCTCGGAAGGATGCCAAAAGTACGCGTTAGGGAATACCCGCTGCGGTGCCGCTGAGGACGGAGGAGGAGGAGGAGGAGGAGGAAGGGAGGAGGAGGAGGAGGAGGAAGGGAGGAGGAGGAGGAGGAGAAGGAGGTCCTGGAGGCCTCTTGACGTCTCAGGAACGCTCCTGAGGTCTCGCGAGGCCTCCCGAGGACGAGAAAGGACAGAGCACGAGCAAAAGCCTCAATTCTCCATCTCTCTCTCTCTCTCTCTCTCTCTCTCTTCTCTCTTCGAACCTCGATGAGGGGGAGGAAGGGGGAAGGAGGAGATGCTGCATGGGGTAGGAAGGAGGGGCAGGAGGCAGAGGGGAAGGGCAGAGAGCAAAGGAGCACGGGCAAATGGGCAGAAATGATGATCGGACCTCCCCGAGAACTGGCAGGTCTGGCGGATGTATCGGGCGACGTGGCCGTTACAGAGCACTCCGGAACGATATGAGAACGTTCTGGAACGCTCTGGAGCGACGTATCCTCATCTGAGGAGGAGGAGAAGGAAGAAGAGGACGATGAGGAGGAGGAGGAGGACGAGGAGGAGGAGGAGGAGGAGGAGGAGGAGGAAGAGGAGGGCGTTTCAGATGCTTTGAGGAAGGAAAAAGGATTCATAAGCACCATGAGACTTGCAAACCATCAATCGTCATAATTCGACGGCCCCACGGGCCAAAGGCGTGCTAAAATCATGGTGCGAGGTCCTCACTGCTCGCGCGCGCTTGACGTCCCCAGGGGGCAACCAAGACTCAGAGATTGCAGAACTTCCAGGCGCGGCCAAAAAAAGTCGCAGGAACGACCCAGAAGGACCCCAAGAGGGTCCAAGAGCGGAGATCAATGGGTGGCGCAGCCCGAAGAGACCCCAAGATAGCCCCAAGGTCGCCCACGCTTGCCCAAGACAGCCCCGAAGAGGCCCTCAAGAAGCCGAAACCAAAATCACCCAGAAACTGATAGTTTCTCCTTAAGCTTCATTGTTGCTCGCCGTTTCCCTTCCCATGGCCCTCTGATGAGACGCCAAAAGACGTACTAGTACTATATGTCCTCCTTGGAGGCGCGCGTCCGATCCGAACATGTAGTATACCCGTCTTGTAGTATATCGTTTCCCGAGCGGTGTGGCCAGAAAGCGCCCGCCACGATGCATGCACTATAAGATTTGTCGGTGCGCGCGTCGCCCCTAAGTCGGGGGGGTGGGGCGGCGCACATTCAGTATCAGTATGTTAGAGTGACGCCAATCTGCGGCTTCAATATGGCTCAAAATTCGCCCACAGCTCCAAGTGGACTTAGGTCGGGCATGTCCCCCTACCGAGGGATCTTGGACGAAAAATAAAGATAAGAACAATACCCCCAAAACATACTCGAAGAATGCTCAGCTGTACTCCAGAATCCCCAGGCTATGTTCAGACTATGCTTGAATATTCCTCCTGTGGAGGGACATGCCCGCCTGAGTCCAAGTGGACCCCAGAGGGGCTCCGAGAAGGCTCGGCCGACCCCCGGGGGGGGGTGCCCAGGAGCGCCCGGAGAGCGAGGACCGACGGGTCGGGCCCAGAGACGGCCCAGCGGGGCCTCAAGACCGCTTCGAGGTCGTACAACAATCGAGGGGCCCAACGACACACGAATACATACACACACCGAATCCCAGGATCCCCCCTGCTTTTCCATATTTTCTGGAGTTTCGTCTGCCCCTCCACTATGTTCTCACATCTTCCTGGGAATAGGCGATGAATTGTGTCTGTGTGTTTGTTCCCCTCCTGATCAAAGTCGTACAGACAAATGGCCTGCGACATCTCCAGGGAGGCCCCGAAGAAGGCCCAAACCCACCACAGCGGAAAGCTGTTCGATGACCCCGCCTCTCGCCCGTTCTCATGTCTGACGGTCATCTGAGGCCTCAAGATGGTCCCAACACCGCCCAACATCGCTCTGGGTGGATGGACCCCAGAGGGGCTTCAAAAGGGCTCGACTGAACACCAAGGACGGCCCCGAGAGCGTCCGTGGAGGGCACGGTGACCCTCGGTGCGGGTTAGCGGAGTGAGCGCAGCGCTCCCCGCCACACCAGGGAGTCATGTGGGATCCCCGCCGCACGGTTCTGTCAGAGCTGTCATCCGCGATCCTCTCGCCTGCGCACTCCTCGCATCCCCCCTTCCTCAGAACCCGAGCCTTAGGTCGGGCATGTCCCCCTACAGGCGGCTTTTGGGCGAAAGATTGAACATAGTCGAAAAATATTCAAACAGATCAAAAAATAAACCAAAAATCGTCGAAATATATTTTTTGCCTATTTTTCAGCACTCCTCCTGTAGAGGGACAGGCCCGACTGAACCCTGGCCGCCCCTCGTGGGGTCGGCCTCGCGGCCCGCGCATGCCACTGGACCCCGCACCCTGGCTGCACAGTGGGCGTCCGCTGGACACGTCGTGCCGCCGTCGGGGCGCCAGCTCAGCCGGTGCTCGGCCGCCATGGACGCCCCGGGAGGGTCGCCGGAGGCCACTCCGAGGGCCCAACACTACACGGCGATTCCTGCCTTCGTTGCGTGTGCCCTTTTCGGCCCTATCTGACGTGTTCACCCCCACTCGGTGGGCGGCCAAGAAGGGGGCGTCCAGGAGGGGGGGGTGCAAATCATGACCAGCGGCATGTGCGCGGCCCAAGGGGGTGGCTGGGGAGGCAATGAAATAAGAAGAGGCGCCATGAAATCTGAGGAATTATCATGGCCCACGCCATGATATCCACACCCCTTCAGTCATCACCCCCCTCTTTGCCGACCCCGACCCACAGGAGGCCCTCCTGGGTTACTGCCGGGGTCTCTTGGGCCCCACTGCTGTTGTTGGCGGCCACCGGAGCCCACGTGGGCCATCCTGGACTCCTCGGCCAGCCTGTTTTTGGGTGGCCCTCTGCTTCCTCCACCAAGCCTCCTACAGTCGGTGTCGGTGTTCAAGCCTTGTCGCTCATCAGAATGACCATGTCCCAAGCAGTGGGCATTCAAGTGAATCAGAACAGGGCAGCAACAACAACGAACAGAATCACGCTGGGTCCCCGCTGCACCCCTGGAACCTGTGCGCTCAGGGTACAGGCCCAGGCTGGGGCCTCGTACCCCCGCCCCCGCGAGCAACAGCAACAGCAACAGCAGCGAAAATACACACACACACAATATATATATATATATATATATATATGTATATATAAGCGTGTATCCCGGCGGCGATCAAAGCCACTAGTAGAAGTACGATGATGACCTCTAGTAGCTCCGTTTGGAATCCAATTAGGAGCTTTGAGTGGGGTTATGGCAAGAACTCGAGTGAAAACTCTGGTAGGAGCTCTCGTTAGAGCTGGTGTACGAGCTCATCTATGACATGTACTCGGAGTTCTAGTTTTGGCTCCAGTAGGAGCTCCAGTAGGTGCTCTAGTGGAAACCATACGAAACACTCTTCTGGAACGACAGGGAGTAGGATGCGTAGCAGAAATTCCCGTGGGAGTTATTGTAGCACTTCAACCACAACTTGTAATAGAAGCTCTAGACGAACATGTGGTGGTCCCTCTGGTACGAGCTGTATATGAAACTCTAATATGGCCTGACATTGAATTTCCAATACAACCTCTCGTAAGGAACTCAGATACAACCTGCAGTTGGATCTCTAGTGGGAATATCATGAAGGTTCGAACAAGAACTTTCGTAAAAGCTCTAGGAGGAACTATAAGCTCTAGTAGGAGCTATAGTAGGAGTTCTGGGAGGAGCTCTAGCAGGAGGTCTGGTGCCTAGTAGGAGCTCTGGCAACAGCTTTAGCTCTCCACCCATCCTACGATCCACTCGATACCCCTCAACCACTCGACACCCTTTTCAAAGCACCAGCCGCCCCCCTTCCCTGGTCTTCCTCACCCTCCCAATGATCTCCCACCTATCCTCCCCTGAACCTCCCCCCCCTCCTCCTCATCCTGGTCATCCCCTCCTCCGTTTCGTTATCATCCTCACCCCCCCCCCCAGTGCTCTTCCCTTCTCCCACACACCCAGCCCTACCAGGATCCCAACCAGCCCCCCGACTCCCTACGCGCCCAACTGCGAAACCCACCACCACCCTGCTCCT